GATTTCACAAAGATATGCGAAACTCTCGGCCATAGTAACAATGGGCGCATCTACGTCAGCTTCTGGTTGAATTGTTGAACCACAAGCCAGAACTCCTCCGATTCCTGAAGAACTGAGAACCATCCGGTTGATGCAAAAACAGCTTTTTCCAAGCCATTGAAAACATGCACTTTGTTAGGTCCACCACCTGTTGCGCTTGCTTCTGTCTTTCGCCGTTCTTAGGGATTATAACCCTTAGATTAGATTTAGAGGAGGGAGCAAGTCACCTAGTTACCGCGAGTTACCAGTGGCACATGATGTGCTCTGCTCTTTCCTGTTCTTCGTTACACAACCTGCACTGGTTAGAGTTGACAACTCCTATATTTGACAAGTGTTTCATTACACTACAGTGGACAGTACTAAAGCCTGTAACAATTCTTACTTCATGTCTACTGAGGTGAAGGAGTTCTTCGGTCCTCCTTGTTGATATAACCGGAATGAAGGACTTGGCTTGTCTGTTACCTTCCGTATTGGTCCAGTAATGTTGTGCTTCGTTCTTCATCTAGATATAGTTGTTCCGTATAACGGAGCTCCATGGCAGACCGGTAAAGGGTCCTGGGCCTATGAATCCCTGTGCAGCCCTTTTCCTGGCGAGAATATCTGCCACTTCATTGCCCATGACTCCACTGGGTACCCGGTTTCTTGAGGCGATCAGTATTAGAAGTTGAAGAAAATCCCACACCAGCTTTGAGGTGACCTCGTGCGCTTTCTGAGGGAGGAGCGCCGCTCTGCTGTGCGAGTGTATATAGATGTGTTTTTTGGTTGCCCCACTTTCTACATACAGAGTTACCCTGCCCCATGCTGGTGAAAAGGAGCAGTCTGGGTTTTATACCGTAGACTCCTGCTCCGACGCCGTGGTCAGTCTTTGTGCCATCAGTATACCAGGTGTGGCTGTCCTTCCGTTCATTGTCCCAGTTATTCCTGTCAGGGAAAAAGACCTTGAAATTATGTGAGAAGTTAAACCTCGGTAGGCACAGGTCCACAAAACTTCTGCGCAATCCATCTTCTTGTTCTATAACCCTGAGAGTGGAAGGGTGTACATACTTCTTGTCCTCTACACTGTCCTCTGAGATGAGCCTTGCTGTAAACAGCAGAGCCTCTTTCTTGATTACTATGTGTAGGGGAGGCAGGTCAAGAAGCACCTCGAGAGCCGCCGTTGGTGTTGTTCTCATCGCGCCAGTGATACCCACGCAGGCCAGTCTCTGTTGTTTGCTGAGCTTGGCCTGCGTGGACTTCACTTCCACCTTCTTCCACCAGACGGGTGCAGCATAGGTAAGAATGGGTTTGGAGACGGCATCATACATCCACCTCGCCAGTTTAAGTCTTATGCCCCAGTTCCGTCCCATAAGTTGCCGGCAGGTCCAGATAGAGGCCATGGTCTTTTGAATAGTTTTATCTAGATGTGGATTCTATGAGAGCTTGTCATCAAGGATGACTCCTAGATATTTGACTTCTTGTGTATCTTTTCACCTCGAAGGAATGGTTCTACTAATTTGTCCCTATTCCTTTTCCTGGAGAAAATGACTGTGCTAGTCTTCTTTGGGTTAACGTTTAACCCATTTTTACTACACCAATTGGCGACTATGTTCAGAGCATTCTGTAGGAGGTTGGAGATGGTATCTTCGAACCTACCCCTGATTAGGATGACAATGTCATCCGCATAGCCCTGAACGTCAAAGCCTTTTTCGCTAAGAACGCAGAGTAGTTCATCCACTACGATGGACCATAGCAGAGGGGAGATCACTCCCCCCTACGGGCAACCTTTCGTAGCTAAGAAACTGACCCTTTCCTGTCCTAGCGTGGATGTAATATTTCTGGATTTAAGGACGTTAGCTATCCAGCGACATGTGGTTTGATCAACCCTTCTGCGCCGGACGCATTTGTCTATTAGAGAGTGTTCTGTGTTGTCCAAAGCGCCCTCCACATCCAAGAAACAACCCACCGCAACCTCTTTGTCCTCCAGGGACTTTTCAAATTTCCTTTTTAGATTCTGAAGAGCGTGGAGGGTAGATCTTCCTGGAAGATAGGCATATTGGTGTCTGTACAAAGGGTTCCTGGGAAGGAAACTATCCCTGATATGCCTGTCTACGATTTTTCCCATTGGTTTTAGTAGGAAGGACTTAAGACTAATTGGTCGGTATGACTTTGGTTGGTCTGCTGGTTTTCCCCCCACCTTTGAGATGTAGCGGACCGTCACTTCCTGCCATTGTAGTGGAAGGGACCCCCACGCGAAACTTGCTCTGAAAATTGGTATCAGAAAGGTAGTAGGCGGAGCAGTCCATTTTGGAGATGAGCTGGGAAAATGCCATCTGCTCCAGGTGCTTTAAAAGGCGCTGAGGTAGATACAGCCCATCTTATTCTATCCTCGCCAAACAGACCTTTGACGAGTCTCCAATCCTCTGCGCGTGGGCGTTTTATCCCAGTCTTCGTGTGGATTGTACTGTTTGTGTTCAGTGGCACACAGTCAGGAAAATGCACCTCGGCTAGCAAGTTAAGGGATTCCATGCAGCTGTTCGTGAAGGATCCATCGGGTCTTTTAAGGAGCCCTAAGTCATTAGTGTCCGTCTTTGCGAGGACTCTGTGGATTCTTGCGCTTCCCGTAAATTCCTTGATCCCTGTACAGAAAAGAGCCCATGAGTTCCTCTTAATACTTCTAATCTCTTTATTGTACTCGGTGAGGGCAATTTTATACGTTTCCCATTCACCAGTTCGCTTAGCTTTGTTAAAGAGCTTCCGGGTATTTGCCCTAAGTTTGGCCAATTTGTTATTCCACCATGGAGTGTGTCTGTTGTTAAGCCTAGTGACTTCTGGACAGGATTCATGGTAGGAGTTCACAATGGCTGATGTCAGATCTGAGCAACTAAGTTCAAGATCGACTAAGTCATTTACATTTCGCTTGCACCTTTTCAGACCGTCCTGCATCGTATAGATTCCAATCTGTGGTTCTTGGTCTTCTGTAGGTGGTAGCAGTTGGTAATGTGATTTCAATTTTAAAACGGATGTGCATGTGATCTGATAAATAAATTTCTCTGGCCACTTTCAATTTTTTGACGAAATTACTGATAAAAGGAGTGGAAAGAGTGAGATCTAGAACCTCTTCCCGTATACTGTTCCTAAAAGTGGGGGAGTTACCTACGTTTAAAATTTCTAACCTATTAAGGCTAATAAATTCAAATAAGTACTCACCTCATTGATTTATGTTACTGCTGCCCCATATGGTAATGTGGGCGTTAGCGTCACATCCCACGATGAGTTTCAGTTTCTGTCTGCCACAATAGTCCACTAGTCTCTGTCATGGCAGAAACTCGTAATCTCTGGAGTCACCGGGGAGGTACGCTGAGCAAATGATTAGCTCTTGCATGTTTTCTTCGAAAGGTAGGCTCTCCTTCACTGCAATCTGGTCCTTATTGGTAAATTCTGGAATGAGAAAGGCGTTGATATGATTAGCTTACCTGGTAGTCCCTTTATCTGGTTCCCATAAATGTACGGCTCCTGGATAAAGGCGATGGCAAGGTGATCCTCATAAAACGTCTGCGCCAGGACCGCTGAAGCCGCCTTGGCATGTTGCAAGTTTATTTGGATGCACCTTACTACCATATTAATTTTTCGAGTCGTCCGGCTGGTTACTCTTCCTCATCCACTTCGGGAGCTTCGTCTCATGTAAGCGGCGAGTCGAGTGTGGACCCTTGCCAGTGTTGGTTGGGCGGGCATGTGACATGTTACCTTTACCTGCCTTGGGTGTACGTGTCGACGCCAATTTAGTAGAGCGGACATGAGTGTTGTTGCCTTTGCCTGCCTTTGGTGGCTGAGACACCTCCAGGGTAGAGGAGATAGCGGCCATTGACGCCAGCCTGATCAGCGCTATCGCCTAGCCGGACTTGTTCCGCATGTTCCCGAGACGGAGCACCGTGGACTTCCATGCAGTGGGTCTTGCGAGATGCTCCTTGGCTGTCTCTATGCGATAGGTGACTTGCTGTCGCCCCGTCCCCCTTTATGCGTAGGGAGATCTGGCCAAAGTTTAGGAAGATTTTTCCACCCCTTACTAAGTAGAATTCTGCGTTTTGTGTTGCCGGAAAAAGGGGCTTCCGCATGCCAAAGGTATACAACATTTCTCGTGCATATAACTTCGGCTACGCCTTCCACAGTATTTTGGCGCGGAACCCGCATCGAAATAGTGCACAGTGCAAACCGAATTTAGTAATAAACTAGTGGCCAGAAATTTGAACCATTTGCTTTAAATAAAAGTTTAATCCTTTGATTACACGTGTACGTGGACTCAAATTTTTCGAAAAGGACACCAAAGATTCTTTTTTGTTTGTTTATATAAAGCAGCGGATAAAAATATACGTATATACGAAAGGAAAATTTATCTGTTTAATTGAACATCACTAATATTTCCTGCAAACACACTTCAATTTACATCTTTTATCTCGCCTCCGACACAGAGTTGTTTTCGTACAAAATTACCCAAAAAAGCTGTCAGTTCCTTACTCGTTTGTTTTTATACCCGAGCGCACTTATGCACAAGGGTATTATAACTTCGTTCACATAACGATTGCTTGTAACAGGCAAAACGAATCGAGATAGATATAGACAAATGTATACATAAATGATCAGAATGACAAGAGAAATCGATTAAGCGGTGACTGTCTGTCCGACCGTGCGTCCGTCCGTCCGTCCGTCCGTCCGTCCGTCTGTGCACACGATAGCTCGAGTAAAAATTAATATATCTTAACGAAACTTTGTACGTGCAATTCTTTCGGGCGTAGGACGGATGGTAATGAAAATGGGCAAAATCGGACAATAACCACGCCTACCTCCCATATTTTTTTATTTTTTTATTTTTGTAAAATTTTTATTT